AAGCATGAGGAAGCAGCAGCAGCATCTTTGGGGGTCCTCTCCTCTAACTCTGGCGGGGTTGAGGGTAGGGGCGAGGGGGGCCGTTGTTGGACTGCTTCTCCAACATGATGAGGTCCTCCTCCTTCTCTTCTCTTTTTGCTTTGTGGTTTGTATGTGAGAATGAGGGTTGGAGAGGGAGGTGAGGCTGGTGGGCTTTTGTGAGTGAGAGGAGGGCCTGACAAGTGGGGCTAGAAGAGGTAAAGGGTGGATAACACACCACCCTGTACATTATAGGTGTCATTGCGTGCTGTCAGACTATCCGACGTGTAGTATCATACCGTCCAATAAGGTGATGTGCTTTGAAGACTTGTCAGTTCTATCGAGGTCTTCACAGACTATCCGACAAGTGAGGTCAAACTACCTGACAAAATTTGATGGAGCCTAGAAAGCGTAGAAATTGATATGCAAGTTTATGAAAAGATGAGATTAAGATGCGGATTATGTTCATGGTGGTTATGACAAACAAATTGGCATGCCTGTTACAATAGTGTTGACAGTGCCAGACACGGTGTCAACACAGCCGCATCCACAGCCTTTCACCAAGACCAACAAGTAGGATAATGTAAGCCCTTCCTACTTTTAACCCATCGCTCGTATGTTAACAATCTTAACGGGTTCGGCTTCTGGTTTTAGAACCTTGGTCAGGCGATTTCCTAGGTGAAGCTACTAGAAGACAAAGAGAAGCGGGTCGTGGAGGCCCAACGAATCGCATAGGAGAAGAGGCGACGGAGGGAGAAGTGGGATCAGGACCACATGAGGTCTACGCAAGGTGCGCCACCTGCAGAATGCTCGGCGAGGTGGCGTCTGATGACACCTTGTGCTCGAGCCAGGACATGTCAGATGACGATCGCATCACTAATTGTCACGAGGATGATAGGGACGAAGTCGACCAGGCGGTGGACTAAAAATAGGTCATAAGAGAGGACAATGATGGGGGACATGGTGACACGGAGACATTGTCTCAACAAGCGTCACTCAAAATGGGAGCCCTTCGTTGTGGAGGTGAGTGGCCCGAAGAGGCCGCATTCTAGGGTGGAAGAGGAAACAGATATGAGAGTATTGCTTGTTGTTGATATTTCTTATGTCTACTGGATATTTCCGCACGCACACAGAAAATTTCGAAGTAAAAATTCGCTCGGGAGTATTTCGAGTGTGGTATTTACAATTTTCTAAAGGAAAGCGTATGGCTAAGATGATTGATAAATATGATTCCTTATGATAAAGTTCTCAAGCAATTGCACAACATTAGTTGGGGGTATACGATTGACGCGCGTTGCTTTAAGGAATTAACAATAAGGTGAAGGTAAATGATCATTATCATGGTGGAATAATGCAGAGGATGGATAGGGCCATCACCACCCACCACTAATTATCTAGAGGCCTAGCCATATCCACAGACAAGTTATAGCCTAAGCACCACGCTTAATCTATGAACTCATTACTTTGATCTAGCTCCGATGAAATGAGATCAAAGCACCCTAACCTAACGGTAGAACCCGTACAAGGTAAAACCACTAAACAAGGTAGTTAACTAATCTACCAAGCTTAGAACAAAGCTCCAAAGCACACTTAACTAAGTACGTAAGCTTGAATAAAGTACTTGAGTAAAGTAAAAATTATATTCCAAATAGAGTAAGTGTAAGTACAAAAGAGCTACACCAAACTCAGAAATACTTCTTTCAAACTCTGAGGAGAGCTCTTGCTCTAACTCTATCTCCCACTGCTAGCCTAGCCACTATAGAGTGGACTACAGTAGTGGAGGACTCTATGTCCCACTCACTAACTATAGCTTTCTCTCTTGAGCGGTAGTGGAGGACTCTATCTCCCACTGCTATCCTAGCCACTATGGAGTGGACTACACTATAGCTTTCTCTCTTGAGCGGTAGTGGAGGCAAAAAAAACCAACTCCAGTAGACCCCCAGATTTATTGGCCTCCTATTTCCCCCTCCCACTACCCATTACTGTTGCCCCCTACTCTTCGCTACCCAAATTTTTTCTTTCAACCACGACTCCTCTCGATGTTTTCCTCTGACCGCTACCTTCTCTTCCCTCAGCGTGGGCCTGTTCCCCGATGCGGCGGCGTGCCCTGGCACGGCAGACGCGGCCAACCCGGCGCGGCGACCATGACTTCCCTGACGTGGCCTTCCCCGGCGCGACTTCCCCTCCGTCTGCCTCTCCTCCTCTAGTGACTTCCCTAGGCAGTGCGAGCACCTCCATGCAGGCGGCGCGCAACAGTAGCGACCTCCACGCTGGCCGGATCTGCAGTGCCTCGCTCTCCGGTGACTCCCCTCCCCGCGAAACCTCCTCCGGCCGCACCCCGGCTCAATGACCCTTGCTGACGCCGATTTGTGGCGGAGAAAATACAGAGGATGACGTATGGGCCCCACATGTCATTCTCTCCTAGAATGAATTTGGGTAGTCTGGTTTGGGTAGCATTGCCGGAGCAAATAACAAAAAATGGATAGTATTAAAATAGGTGACTACACAAATCAAGAAGTAGGGGGTCTGATTTGTATAGCACCGTTGGAGATGCTCTTACTTCTTTACTCGTCATCTATGATTCTAGCCTCCATCGATTAACTATATCATGAAAACCTCCATCTGTAGGGAACTTTGGGCCATGCTAGCACTCGGACGTCCAGACCCACGCGCGCATCCAGACACCGTGCACCCGCATGCTGCTGCGCCTGCCCGCGTGCTTCGCGCGCCCGTGCCTGCTACTGCTTGGTCCGTGCGTGCTGCTGCTGTGCCTGCTGGCTTGCTGCGCCCCGAGCGTGCTGCAGCTGCATGCAAGAGAGAGGGTGGGAGCATAGCGCGCGTACCTATGTTGACCCAGACTGTATGCTCCATCGTAGGGGACCAAGCCTGGTGGTCAGGGCCGCCTGGTTCTGCGTTAGTTTGGTGTTGGCTTGTTCTTGCGCTCTGCATGCGCACATGCACTTTGGACTAGGGAGTGCTTGGTCATTTGGGCACTGACCACCCGTTGCGTGGACGTCCGACTATTGGAGTTGCCTCGCATGACAGTGATATGCAGCGTTGGATGGGTGCGTGTAGCGTATGCGTGCCCGTGCGTCAGAGCGCGTGGGGAGCAACACCTACTACAACATAGTGAAACCAGGTGAAACAATTGAAATAAATATTTGCAACATATGTGTATAACCACTACAACATATAACAACATCCAGATAAAAGCACTTGCAACATACGTTTGAAATAGGTGAAACATTTGGAACATACACTTGCAATATACATGTATAGCCACTACAACATATGCAACATCCAGATGAAACAACTGAAGCGTTTGAAAAACGCATGCAACATGCGTGTATAGCCACTACAATATATGCAACATCTAGATGAAACAGTTGCAACATATGTTTGAAACAACTGAAATATTTGAAACATACACTTACAACACACGTGTATAGCCATTGCAACATATGCAACACCAGATCTACTTTGCAACATCCAGATAAAACATATGCAACATACATCTGAAATACATGAAACATATGGTTGCAACATGTACTCATCTACTTGGTGCCGCCCAATGAAGGCTGATGCGGGCGCGGGGGAGCGGAGCGCAAGGTGAGGGCGGCGCACGACGCGCGGCGCGAGGCACAAGCGGGGTACATGGCACGAGGCGGGTCCGAAGTGAGGTGCAGGGGCGCGTGGCTCGAAACGGGGTCTGGCGCGAGGCGCAGTGGTGCGCGGCACGAGGCGGTTCCGTCCCAATGGAAGTGTCCAATTTTTTTTAATATAATGGGCCGGTCAGACCAGTTCCGTGGGCCCAGCAAAGACGCGCGTCCAGCGGTAGAGATCATTGAAGTTAGTTGCTCTAGAACCTAAAAGCTAAGAGCATGTTCGCCTGGTATTAAAGCCGGCTGAAGCTGATTTATTATAAAAAAAATACTGTAGATTCTAGCTGATAAGTCGGCTGATAAGCTCAAGCGAACGTGCCCTTAACCCTAACATGCTCACAAGATCGAGTGAGCTTTGAACGTAACTGAGATTTCAGTCTTCTGTAACCAATAGGACGCGTGGAAATGCGAAGGGGTTTTTTTTTTTTTTGATACGGTTACTGTACCATTAGGTTGCAAACCTACGGACCTGATCACATCTGGAATCAACCCTGTGTTTATACCACCCGTAAAACCCCTCTTCCCCACTCTCTTTCTTTCTCTCTCTATCCTCCCTAGTCCCCTCTCTCCTCTTGGTATCCGGTGGAGCTCGTCCACCTCCGGCCAAGATCTGGAAGCAGCGAGGGTGCCCGGCGGTTCTCGTCCCGGCCCCCGACTCTTCCTCGTCTCTGCCACCCCTGGTTCCTCCATCTAGCCCCCGCAGGATCTGGAAACTGTCGAAACTGAGTCACCAGCGCTCGTCGGGGGAGAAGCAGGCGGCACATCCAGCGCGCTCAACCTCGCTCATCCGACCTCACCGCTGAGCCTCCGCAGGGATCTTCACATCCCCATCCCATCAGCAACGTGAAAGAGAACAGGTGACGGGGTTGCCAAGCTACATACCCACGACGCCGGCTGCCGAGACACCGCGCACGATCCTGCAGGCATGTACTCCTCTGCTCTTCCTCCTCGCCTCTCTCTGGTTTCTACGCCCGCCGTAGAAGAAGAGGCACACAGAGTGCTACATTAGGTAGGACAGGAAGGAATTTGGTGGCTATTTTTGCAATTGCCAAAAAAAAAAACCGTTTCTGCAAGAAAACGATTTGGATTAAATTCTGAGGGGAAATTTCTAGTGGCGATAGACTGGTGCCCAGTTCTTAAGCGATCTGTGATGAGTGAATGTTTAAAAATTTCGAGTTAATTTTGTGCAGAGAAAGATGATCGATGTGGTTTTTGTACCACTTCGCTGTCTGTGAAAGCCCGCTGTGTAGGTGGTGACATCAACATATGATGGTGCGCAAGAGATTGGTTTATAGATCCCGTGGCCGTCGAATTCCAACCATGCCACGTGTTCCAAACTCAGCTCGGGTACATGTTCTTTGATTAGGTGTTTTTCTTTAACCACAATTTGCCCACTGAATCCATCTTAACAATCAATTGTAATGCAGGGAAAACGCTCTACCAGAAGAAAGAAAGATGAGAATGATATGTGTGCATTTGATTTGCTCGCAACTGTGGCAGGAAATTTATTAGCAGATCAGGACAATTCATCTAATGTTCCTAATACCAATGCAGCAAAAGCTAAAAAAAGGAAATCAGTTAAGGAAGAACACTTCAATGAAATTCTGCCTCTAAAAGATGTGGCTATGGAGAAAGATGTAGGTTCTGGTAGTGTCAGTGCCTTTCCTAGGCAAGCTAACAACTGCTTGGCAGAAAACTCGTCGACAAGAAATGGAGCTGAATCAATATTAGAGTCACTAACAATGAAATCAAATATGTTAGCAAAAATTCCTGAGTGTGGATCTTATGGAATACACCATCCAGGATCCTCAAGTTCAGCAGAGCCTGAACAAGTGCAGCAAGCTGAACCTAAAGTGATCAGAAGACAAGCAGATGGGCATGCTGTGGCTTACGGTATATTTGACTCCGTGGATGTGGATGGCAAACCTCCGGCTTTGGTTAGTTCTGACAGTAGCTCGTGTGTTCCTCTGAGCAGCCATGACAAGGAACATCAAACCTCTTCCTTGTATCGGGGTGAAGTGCAGTATACTGCAGATAGAGATGATGATGAAAATTCTTCCGGGTGCACGCATCCAAGCACCATAGAAAATAAGGGTTGCAAACCACAATATCTAGGTAACCATAGGATAAGGAAATTGCTTGCCTCGAAGGTAAGGAAGGCAGCACGTAATAAGATTTGTGGAGGGATTCCGTCAAAAAAGATCTGTGGAGGGTTGTCAAACAAAGGTATGCCAGTCCCAGTGTTAATGTTTGTTTTATCTACACTACTAAATGATCCATAGCTGCCATAAAGACAACCATGTTTCCATTTGCTTCTTTCTACTTTCATGGTTACTAGTCAATCCAGGAATTGGACTAATCAAGGGCTACCGATTGTCTTAATCAACTAGGTAGCAAGCTAAACTTATGTGGGAAAAAGATATCCACCACACGTCAAAAGGTGCAAAGGACGATTTTCAAGAAGAAAAAGCTAGCACATCATACGACATCTTTTGCTAAAGAGATGCTAACTGAAGGTATTTTGTACTGTCAAATCACATTACCTGGTTATTTGAAGTCCTTAGTTTTTTAGGATTATGCAGACACAAAGTTCTTATATCGCACTGAGTCAGTCAAACCCAATCTTCCACATGGCATTGATGGCCTTAGTCCTTGTTTTAATTCTCTTACTAAAAGAAAATGTCGCTTGCCGTTTCAGCTAGCGGGACATCGTTTGCTACTGGTGGTCAAAATAAATCGTGTGAATCTGAGAACTACCATGGTATTCTTGGATACTGTAGTGGTATGTTCGTTGCTGTTGACCTGTTGAAACCATTGCTTATTATTTTTGTTTTCCTCTTTTCAGTTAAGCTAAGAATCAAGTCATTCAACATCCCAGAATTGTTCATTAAGGTCCCAGAAAATGCAACCATTGGATCACTTAAGGTAAACACTACATGGGCATACACAAGTTATTGATAAGCAATCATGCATTCATTTGGCATCCCAATCTTTTTGGTGTTGCTGCTGTTAATTTACTATACAATATAATTGATGAAATCTGCAAGGCTGCATGAGCGCACTTAACTTGATGGATTTATCTTTTCGTTCTTGAGAGAAGGTATGCAGCGTAAGATTATAGATTGATTTGGGGTTACATGATACATGTACATATATAGGTAGAGATAGGGGCGGCTTATGGAAACAGAACCGACCTCGGTATCTCTACCATATACAACTCAATCTACACCCTTGTTGGACAAGAAATCCAACGCAGGGCAGCTACAAGGGCTGGCCACAAGGCCCAGGCCAAGACCAGACATATACGGATATGGCTGTCTAACATGCCCACGCAGTCGAAACACTGGTACTGCGGACGTTGAGACTGGATCTGAATTCCTGAAAAACCGAAGAAGGCAAGCCTTTGGTGAATATATCAGCGTACTGCGAGGATGTGGGCAGATGCAGAACTCGAACATCACCAACAGCAACACGATTACGGACGAAGTGGAGATCAATCTCAATGTGCTTGATGTGCTGATGTTGGACTGGATTGCTGGACATAGAAACTGCGCTAATGTTATCACAGTAGACCAAAGTGGCACAATGCAAAGGATTGTGAAGCTCCTGAAGGAGTTGGTGCAGCCAGGTGGCTTCGGCAACAGCATTTGCCACGGCGTGGTACTCAGCTTCCGCACTGGATCGAGATACAGTGGTTTGGCGCTTGGATGACCAGGAGATTAGGTTGCCGCCAAGGAAGACCGCATAGCCGGAGGTAGACTTGCGAGTATCTGGATAACCGGCCCAATCAGCATCTGAGTAAGCCACAAGATCCGTCTGGGATGTCGGGCGAAGAAGAAGACCCAAGTCAAGTGTGCCCCGAAGATAACTCAGGATGCGCTTGAGGGCAGCAAGGTGTGGAAGTATCTGGATAACCAGCCCAATCAGCATCTGAGTAAGCCACAAGATCCGTCTGGGATGTCGGGCGAAGAAGAAGACCCAAGTCAAGTGTGCCCCGAAGATAACTCAGGATGCGCTTGAGGGCAGCAAGGTGTGGACTTCATGGATCCTGCATATGGAGGCAAACCTGCTGAACTGCATAAGAAATATCTGGCCGAGTAAAGGTGAGGTACTGAAGAGCACCAGCAAGACTTCGAAAATCTGTAGCATTTTCAACAGGGGACCCAGCAGCAGCCAAAACCTTCGGTGTACTGCATGGTTTGCAATCTTCCATGCCTGCACGAGCTAGAATCTCCAAGATGTACTGGCGCTGAGAAAGGAAAAGACAAGTAGGACACCGCTGAACATGCATGCCAAGGAAGTGGTGAAGTTCGCCCAAATCCTTCATAGAAAACTCCTGCTGCAAAGCCTGAATGGTTCGCCGGAGTAGAACCGAGGAGGAAGCAGTGAGCACAATATCATCCACGTATAGCAGCAGATACACAACATCAGTCCCTTGACGATACACAAACAATGAAGTATCAGACTTGGTCTCCACAAATCCCAATGACAGAAGGAAGGCCATGGAGCGACTGTACCATGCACGAGGAGCTTGCTTGAGGCCGTCACCCGTATAATGATCTGTTCAGGCGACAAACAAAACTGGGATGCACCGAATCTTCAAACCCAGTAGGCTGCACTGAATAAACAGTCTCAGACAGGTTGCCATGGAGGAAAGCGTTCTTGACATCCAGTTGGAGTATAGGCCAGTTCTGAGACAGAGCTAGGGAGAGGACAGTGCGAAACTGTGATTGGCTTGACTACAGGACTGAAAGTTTCAGAGAAATCAACACCGGGCCATTGTGTGAAGCCTCAAGCACCCAGCGTGCCTTGTACCATTCAAGGAGCCATCTGCCTTGAATTTATGTTTGAATATCCACTTGCCTGAGATGACATTGGCTTGGGATGGTCGAGAGCAAGATCCCAAGTGTTGTTATGCACTAACACAGAAAATTCCTCTTCCATGGCAGCTCTCCAATTAGGATCAGCAAGGGCAGCGCGGATACGTCCTGGGTACTGGAGATAATGGTGCTGCATGGTATAGAGCGGGACCTGGAAACCGTGCTTGGCACGTGTACTCATAGAGTGCTGATTCTGAACTGGCAAAATAGGAATGGCACCAGCAGGAAGGTGTGCTGCAGGCATAGGAGGTGATGCTGCAGGAATCTGTCCAGGTGGCTGAAAAGGTGATCCCGGAGGTCCAGGAGACATAGCTGGAGGTGGCCGGGGTCGGCAACTGTACACCTGAGCAAAACGGCAGGGAGGCGAGGGCCGTGGGATGGGCGGTGCTTGGCGCAATGTGAGGCCGCGAGAAAGGCAACACCAGGATCGGCGCGGCTGATGCAGCGGAAGTGAGGATCGAAACTAATCTGATACCATGAGAGAAAGTATGCAGCGTAAGATTATAGATTGATTTGGGGTTACATGATACATGTACATATACAGGTAGCGATAGGGGTGGCTTATGGAAACAGAACCAACCTCGGTATCTCTACCATATACAACTCAATCTACACCCTTGTTGGACAAGAAATCCAACGCAGGGCAGCTACAAGGGCTGGCCGCAAGGCCCAGGCCCAGACCAGCCATATACGGCTGTCTAACAGTTCTGCAGTGGGTACAAAATTTAGTAATACAGAACTTGCTCCAATTGCTGGATTGAGTTGACTGTCATGTTAGATTTCTGCATTTGAATTATCAAACAGTTTATTGCAATGTGGAATGATGAGTCTTCACAATAGTTTTACTGGTACCCTATACAGAGCATATAAATATTTCTTCTTGTGAGTGTTTCCCAGTAACAGTTTGTAGTCTGTCTATGTCTATAGAGAACTGTCATGGATGTTGTCAATAGTATAATGGAAGGTGGTCTACGCGTTGGTGTTCTTCTTCAAGGAAAGGATATCCAAGACGACAACAAGACACTTCGTCAAGCTGGGATATGCCATGATAAAAAACTAAATAACATAGACTTCACGTTGCAATGCGAACGTGAGCGAGAGTCTCCCTCTGGAGTCATTATACCAGAACAGATGGATTTCCTCACTGCAGATATGGTGGAGCCATTAGCTAGGTAGGTGACTTACAGTACAGTTCTCTTAGGGCTTGTTTGGATGCCCATGTATCCACCTCAATCCATACATGGACATCGAAACAAGGCCTAAATGTTCCATGATTTCCAGGATGAAGTGTGAAGAACCTTTTCCTGAAGCTGATGTCGGAGATGACAACCAGCAGTCTAAAGCGCCTTATCGAAGCCGCTCTCTCTCTGATCTCTACTCTGTTCATTGTCCTGTTGAGATGGCTTCCCAAGACACATCAGCAAGCTCCCAAGCCATCATCCCTGTTTCACCTGCACCTTCAGACATGGGTGCTCTAGCCATTGTGCCGCTTTGTAAGTCCAAGCGATCCGAAATTGGGCAAAGGCGCATAAGGAGGCCCTTCACTGTTGGTGAGGTTGAGACGCTGGTGGGAGCGGTTGAACAGCTTGGGACTGGAAGGTCTGTGTCCAATGAATTTGTTTCAGTTGTGTTTATTTCAGATCACATGTTGGCTCATGTGTTCCTCCTGATGTTGTTTTGTTCAGGTGGAGAGCTGTTAAAACGCTTGCCTTTGACAATATAGAGCACAGGACCTATGTCGACCTTAAGGTGACTTTTCTTAAACATAAGTTCGCATTTTTGTATTATTAATTTTGAGTTGCAATTAAAAGACCTACAAAACCAGTCGTCAGTAGTGTCATTCTGTTTGATTTCAATACTCCGTTGGTGATCTAGTGCTCTGCCATAGCCAGCTTACATTTCTCTGTTTAGTATCTGTGGTGTTTGAACATACTTTGAAATACTTGATTGATGAACCAGGACAAGTGGAAGACCCTGGTTCACACTGCAAATATATCCCCGCAACAGCGAAGAGGTCAGCCAGTTCCACAAGAACTTCTGGACCGTGTCCTCGCAGCGCAGGCCTACTGGTCCCAGCACCTCCAGGACAAGCCCCGGGGCAAGGCTCGTCTTCTTCCTGAGATTTGCTTTCCCTAGAAAGGGTAGCGTGTCCTTGTGTAAATGCTGTGCCTAATAGAAACCAGGTAGAAGGGATGTCCAAAGAAACCAGACTAATTTGTGTGTTATTGCATACTTACAACATTTATTGTTCTTTTCATGCTCTGCTCTTTGGTCTCTGTTGAAGCCAGGGGTTCTCTCATTTGTGGATAAATAAGGGGAGAGAACCTTGTTTGGCGCTTGTAAATGGTGTCGCAAACTTGTCATGTTTCATAAGCCTTTGACATGTCGCGGTTCTCTTCTCTAGTATGCTTGAGGGCCCCCATGGTAGAATTGATATATTCGGTACTGACGAGGTTACTCAAATTTTGGCCATCTCACTTTAGTAACTACTGATGAGGCTACTCAGTATACTTGGTGAGAATGGCTAATGCTGCATGCTCAGCTGTCAGTAGTTACTTTCAGTGTATTTATATATAAACGCGTGGCCTGAGATTCAGAATTGACGCAGTGCTGCGGGGTAGATTATGTTGATGTGAGAACTGCATTTCCTGCAGGTTTAGCTTGAAATAGCAAGGGGGTAGATTTTGTTCACGTGAAAACTGCATTATTTCTTGCAGCCTGAGCTTGAACGGTAAAGGTCTGCACGGATCCCAACTAGATTATACGTAGGAATTAGATAAAACAATCCATCCCAACATTTTTTTTGAGATTATATAGGTTATTCGTACTCCAACTAACAATAACTCACCTCTATAATCGCGAGATCTAAATAATCTAGATTATTATAATCTATAATCAAAGGTTATTATAAGCTCACCTATTACCAATATTGCTATAGTTTAATTAGGATCCAAAAATATCCTAGATTATAAACAATTACATGCAGAGTAAATTTTAGGGTCCCTTTGGTTGGATTTTTGGGCTCCTTTTTTGCTTCTAAAAAGCCAAAATCTAATCAAAGGGGTAGAAACCTATGGGTGCTTTCAAGCAAAGGATGTTCCACCCTAAGTTTAATTCTCGCAGCAGGTTTTGCTTCCCTCGGCTGTGGAACCAAAAACTTTGTAGAAATTATCCATGTGCTACTCGTCATGAAGCTTCACCCCTTCGATTCTTTTCTCATTCCCATCAGTTTTCTCCTTCCACCCCTGTCCTCTCCTTCGCCCTCGGCACTATAGATCTAGGCCGGCGGCCGGTGGCGGGTGCTCGCGGCTCCCCCTTCCCCTCGTCCATGGCTGCCAAAGGAGGATGCTCGCCGCCCCCTTTCTCCAGCCGTGGCAAGAGGCTAGGGTTCAACGTCAGCTCTGCTCGAGGAGGCTACATGCCTCGCCAGGGCCGCCCGTGGCTCCCCTCCCGTCGTCCACGACTGCGGCTGGAGGCCTCTTTGTTGCGGCTCTACTCGCGGAGGAAGAAACATGCATGCAAGAAAATAGAGAATTCCGTATAGGGTAGTTGACATGTGGGCCCAATGACAAAGAACCCACAGCATTTCAACCAAATGGTTTTCAACTTTCTCACAACTATATATGGCCATCGGGCCGGCCCGGCTCGGCACGGCCCGCACGCAGGCCAGCACGGCCATGGTGGTCGGGTCGACCGACGCGACGCCGTGCCCCCGTCAGCGCCTTACTGGGGACCTCGTGCCCGATGATGACCAAGCACGGCCCCTCGAAGTTTGAAATTGGCCGTGCGTCACCAGACAAATTTCAAGCCAAAACTTATGCGGGCCGTGCAGCCCACACAACCCAAATTGTAGAAAACCACTCATCGATTTTTAATCAACAAAGACATTCATAATTTTGACAAGTCATTCACGAATCACAAAAACAACTTAACTATTTAACAACTTAACAAAGAAGACTCAAACACAACAAAAGACAGAGATTTAAAGATAGAAATGAGTCAGTGTGCAATCTCATTTCATTAAAAACCTTTTGGGTAAAACTCACCCTTGTGAGAAACCCCAAAAAGAAAAAAAGAGGCAAAGACAGCTCTTATAATGTTCAAATGTTCACAATACAAATACCAGATACAAGCATTATGTCTCAACTCTCAAGCCTCACAGTCTCAATCTCAACTCTCTCAAACTGAACTCTCAACTCTCGGCTCTCGGTAGCAAAGAGAAGCGTATAAACAGAAGCACTTGTAGATGTGCTAGCGTATGAGGCCCAGATCCATCTTCAGAACATCAAGATACTGATTCTCAAAGGACTCTGCCAAATTTCTTGGTTGTCGCAGAATGTTGAAGTCTTCTATCACCCAGCCCCAGTCCTTGATGCAAGCAAGCATCTCCACATGTTCAGCAGTGAAGTCTTCGACGCCGCTCCTCAATAATCCTTCCTGTTAAACCTGAAACATGATTCAAGAGACAAGAGAAACAGAAACAGCCATAATATCTCTTGCCATTATAGAAAGAACAGATAGGTTAGTTTGTGGTCACGCCACCGGAGAAGCAAATCAAAATCATCCTCATATGCAAAGTGACATTGTCACTATCCGGATAAGTTGTGAGCTCACAAAGCAGCAGAGGCGTGAGAGATTGAGTTGAAGTGGAGACAGAGGCGGGGAGGATGACCAACAACAAATGATGATCCAGGGCCGCCAAAGATCCTTCCCCATGCTTGTTTCCTCTTACCCGAGTTGATCGCAGGATGTACAGTGCCTTTGAGACCTTGTAGAACCATACTTGTCATCCATACTTGGCAAATAACTTGTAAATTTCAGTTTTAACATCAAATAATATTTATTGTAATCAACACCAATGTTCTCTTTAAGTATTACCAAAGACATTAAACAAACCTCTCAACTTAGCTCTAGGATCAAGAATGAAAGCAATAGAATATAACAGAGGTATATTTTCCCAATACTTAAGATATTTAAGCTTCATAGGATAGACAATGACCATTAGATTTTGATCTTTTTCACTTTCATGCAAATGATGAGCAATGTCAAGCATATGGTGCGAAATTAGTGGACTAGTTGGATAGTAAACACCAGATAGAACACATGTTGATTCATAAAATAATTCTAGGAACTCCAATATCTTGGCAAAGAATGAGCCAATGTCTTGGAGTCAACAATGTGCGACCAAAATTTGCATTAATGAACACGAAAAAAACCTCCTTGTAAGGTACCAAGTGTTTAAGCATAAGGTATGTAGCATTCCATCTCACATCCATATCTAAACCAAACTTTCTAGGTCTAACACCACGAGCATTGCAATAATTCTTAAACATGGCAATTACGTGATTAGATGAATTTAAGAAGTTAATAGCAGTTCTAAAATCCTCTCGTGTAAGTTTTAAATCTCTTTAAACCAGATTTCACAATTAAATTAATGATATGGCAAGCACAACGCTGATGCATAAGATTATATTTACGCTTATTAGGATCTGATGAAGTAGGTGTCGGATCGTAACCTAAATAACATGCAAACATGGTGTCAAAGTCTCCATTGCCTTAGCATTGGAGGAAGCATTGTCTAGGGTAATGTAATAAATCTTGTCAATCATACCAAATTCTGAACCACACAAGCAATTTTTTCAGAAATATTCTCACCAAAGGTGCTTCACCTCAATCAACCCGAGGGCCAATTACCTTTTTTGTAGCTCCCAATGCACTCACATAATGAGCAACTACACTAATGTAGTCCTCCTTAGCATTTCCGGACCATATGTCGATGTCAAAGCAACAGATGATGCACCGCACAAAACATGATTCTTAAGCATATTACGACGTTCAATAAATAGAGCACGAAGGTCTCTAGTGGTGGATCGTCTAGACACCCTCTGAAACCTAGGGTTATGAGCACGTTGAATGTACTCCTCAAATGCATCTCAGATCACCAATACCCAAAGGCAAATCAAGCCTAGCAATCAATCTGCAGAGTTCGGTTCTAGCTACCTCGGTTTTATAATCCCGATTATGCACGAACCATCGAGGATTGTAAGATAGCCTAGATTGAACCCTATCACGTTGATCGGTTTACGCCTACAAGAGTTCTCGGTGCCTCTTCAAGTGACCAAAGTGCAAGACTAGATCTAGCAGACAAAGTTGACTTACACATCTTACATTTAGCTTTAGTGCAAATCAGACTCCATTCACGCCTCAAATATCTCTTCAAAATCATCCCGCATGGAGATTTACGCTACCAACCTTACCATTACCAAAGCAGACAGCAACAGATGGAACAGAGCCGTTGGAGTTGGAGCCGACCGGGTTCGCAGACGCCGCCGCCCCTCACCACCGTCGCCGTCTCCGAGATCGACACCGAACAACGCAGCAGCGTCATCACGGATGTCGTCGCTCGCTCTCGCCCTCGGGGGCCATGCCGAGCGGAAGCTTCGCCATCGTCTTCACCATGGTCGCCTCTCCAAAGACCAGACCTCAACGGTGCGGGTGGCCTGCTGCTCCTCGCTCTATGCCACAGCTAGAGCTTGAAGCATCGACTCTGACCTGCGAAGGAGGAAGGAATAGATCGATTAGAGATCTCATCAAAAAAAAGAAGAAAGATGGGGATTAGGGTTAGCCGGTTAGGGTTAGGGTTAGAGCTTACCTTCATGAACCGGAGCCCGGTCTTGGGAGAAGAAGACGGCGACGGCCCCGCTGCCGAGAAGACGACACAAGGTCAAGCAAGAGACGGCGAGGCGGCGAGAGGAGGGACAAACGGGGTCAACAAACTCACATAATCACCGAGATCTAGAGGGAGAAAGGTAGATGGAGAAGGAGAGGTAGAGAGGGTGAGAGCACGCACGCCAATGGGCGGCGGTTCGAGGTCACCGGAGTCGGGCCGACGACGGCACACGATGGATACTGGCCATACTGGCGAGGCGAGAGGAGAGGCCGGGCGCGCAATGCGCAGGGATGGAGAGGAGTGGAGAGCGGGGAGAGGAGAGGAGTCAATCGAGTGATTTAGGTTTAGGGTTTGTGAGGGCGCGGTGCCGTCACGCCTCGCTGCCTCGCCTCGCTTATATGGCAGGGCCGCAGGGGGAGGCCAGGAGGCCAAAGCGCCGTTGGCCTTGGCCGCTGGGCCGCTAGCAGGCCGCGCGGGAGCCGAGAGCTGCTGCCGGGCCGACCTCGGGCCGACGGCTTATTACGTCTTGGGCGGGCCAGCCACTGGCTATAGCAACGAACGCTGTGCACGCATCAGAAGCTCGCGTCTTGGCCAGCCGGGCCAGAGACCCTCGTGCCGGGCCGGACTCGTGTCGGGTCAAATTAGCGGGCCGTGGGCCGGGCTACCGGGCCTCGGGCTGCATGGCCAAGTATACTCACAACCCATGACCCATAGCTCACAATAGCTTTTTCACATCCCACAGCTTAACCAAACACACCCTTAGTTATTAGTTCTCTGTCTAACGAAATAGGGCCTGTTCGGTTGGCTGGTTCGTATCGTTGCTGGTTCGTTTACGTGAGAGAGAAGTACTGTTGGTTGGTTCATATAAATAGTATCCATATGAGGGGGCTGGCCAGCCAGTCCAGCCAGCCAGCCCCAGCCGATCGGGCTGATAGACATGTAAATCATTACTATGTTTTTTATTCTCGCTTTCCAACATTAGACAGTGTGGAACTGCTGACAAAACCCAAGACAAACAAAATGCTTAAATCCTTCACCTAGGTCTTTGGAAACTGAGATCCTCCTAGGATCCTAAACTTTTCTCTGATCAACAGTTCATGAAGTGTCATTTGAATAAGTTATTTAGTTCTCTATGAAAACTTTTCATAGCTAGATCTGCCTTCTCTTTGCTTCCCCATCGGGAGGGAAGAGGACATCAATACGTGGACCTTACAAGCGTTCGCTCCAGAGGGATTTAGAGGATGAGTAGGCGGCCACTGGGATGTGCACAATTTTCTTCTACCTTTGGTGTTCTTCTACCTACAGTCACCAGTCTCCTACCTCCGGCCATCCAGGGGCAGAGCTAGGATTTGAGCATAGGGGGTGGAGGGGCTATTCAAACTTCAAACCGACAACAATCATACATCATGAAATATATATACAACGAGCATAGACAATAAGCAAATAAATCTTTATTTTACAATACAAAACAAGGGTAAAACCAAAATACTAAATATTACAAAGAAAATAGGAATAAAATTTAATTACACCTTGGTGTCTAACCTCCACCCGGTCAATCTAATTCTTGGATAAAAAAAAAGAATCACGGTAATAATAAGAACAAAGAAGATGAGATGACAAGATAAAAGGAATAATAATTCTAAATAAAATAAATGTCGTTGAGATAAATGCACAGGGAGAATAAACAAGCAAAACACTGACTATAGTTATTAACTAGCTAATTATAGGTGTACTTTAGGGATCAACCTGTAGGTAATAGAATCACAACAAGAACACAAGAGATTGAGAAGATAATAAAAAGACCAATTCTAGATCATATAGATACTACTATAGATTAATACGAAGAAATCATAAACAAATTAGACACAAATTAGCATAAATTAACTAGTAAATCATTAGAGATTTTCTATCTAATGGAAGGGGTGCTGTGGGGCACCAGATGTTGGAGGTGCCAGGCCCCTCAACTCCTCCTCCCACCGCCACTGCTGCGCCATCCATGTCGTCTCCCATGAAGCCCCACCCCGCCCCCCTACCTGCCTCCGGCTACTCCTCGCCACCGAATCCGCCTCCACCTCCCACCGCCACGCTAATCCCGCTTCACAGGGCATCACCATGACTCCTCCGCCTTTGTCCTGCACAACCACAAGCATCACCGCTTGGCGGTGGCGCCACCCTGTCTCCCCATTTCACCTGGCATGGCACATCTTACGGTACAAACGCATATGGCGTGGCAACATAATTTTGTCGCGCCAAGCATGTTGACATGTCTAAAAGGGTTAAAAATAAAATAAAAATAAATGAGGTTATTTGAAAATAAGATGTAAAAAATATTAATAAAAAAAACTTAAGGCGTTACGCGAAAGGGCTATGGCGGCATGCCGTGCCATGGGAAAACGCGTCCACGCTATCTTCGCTTCCCTGGAACGCTCCCGTGTTGAGAAAAAATAGAGCCGTAGGCAAGGATTATTTACAACTTTTGTCAACCTTGGATCCACGTTGGATGGTACTCCGATATTAAGCATGTTGCCTGGCTCACCTCTTGTCTAGGCTTCCATAACCATAATGCGGTTTCAGTGTGTTTGGATGCCTAGGTAGCCCCTAAGTCAGGCTTGTGGAAAGCCAAAAAAAGGGGGGGCTGCATTGTTGTAAACACTCGGACCCTGCGTTTTCGTGGAGCTAGGCTTGTACAAGCATGTGGCTCACCTGTCGGTGCTCGTCACACATGCCACTGCGTCTTCACCGCCGTCGCAAGAAACTAGAAGGGGAGAGAAGGCAGCGGGCGAGGGAGCTTACATCCTCGCCCCGGTCCAGGTGCTTGTAATCCGTCTCCCTCAGCTCCGGCCACCTCATTCCGCACGAGATCTGGCTCACCCATCGCTAAGATCCGGCTCCTCCACCACACACTGGCTAAACCATGCAACTAAACAAAATCAATTCTAATACTCCATTCGTCCATAAAAGAATAAAATTCTTGTTTTTCGAGAAGTCAAGTCATTTGAACTTTGACTGAACTTATATAAAAAGTACTAACATTCATGATATAAAAAATACGATTAGATTAGTTATATAATATATTTTTATAATAAATTTATTTAGGGACATAAATATTAATATTATTTACTATAAATTTGGTCAAACTTGTACCAGTTTGATCGGTACGCTTCACATAATTGCATTCTTTTGTGGACAGAGAGAGTATAAACTATAGCTAGTTAGGTTACATTGCTCAAGCGAGGCTCTAGTTGGCCTCGCTTAAAATTAGTCAGACTAGACTAGCCTACCTAACCATACATGCCCTAACCTACGTTTTGACTTGAATTGAGGCCAATGTTTAGACACATATACGTAGTATTAAATATAGACTAAAAATAACTTGCACAGTTTGGGATTAATTTGCGAGACGAATATTTTAAGCCTAATTAGTCCATGATTTGACGGTGTTACAGTAACACATGTGCTAACGACGAATTAATTAGGCTTAATAAATTCGTCTACTGACGAATTCTGTAATTTGTTTTTTACTAGATCAAACACCCTCTGCGACACCCTACATGACACCCGCCAACTTTACGGATTTAAACGAGACCAAGCCACTGACAGCCTGTTCGGCTGGGATTATACGGTCGTAAACAATCGTGGATTATAAGCTGGAATAATATTTTTCTCTCACACCAAATCAGCTAAATCAGCCATCAATAAATAATCCACGGTGTTTATAGCTGCCGAACAGGCCGTGCGTCCGTACTCGAAGCCTGGAAGTGCAGCGCCACACCTACCCGCCGCACAGAACCCCATGCAATCACGCCTCTGGCTTTACTGCGTGGCCCATACAACATGCAGACGCTTTTCACGTCCTCCTGTTCAAAAAGGCATCCTCCAGGTTCTGGCCTGCCCCTGCCTACGACAAGAAGAACCGGATCGGGCCAGCAACCAGCATGGTTGCGATTGCGGCAGCCATGCATGGCCGTCGTCTCCTCCTCCCCGCTGCGCTCCTACACCTGCACCTGCTGCTGGTGCCACTGCCGCCAGTGCAGGCGCGTGTGACGGCCCTGATCGTGTTCGGTGACTCCACGGTCGACGCCGGCAACAACAACGACATCGACATCCCGACGGCGGTGCGGAGCAACTTCCCGCCGTACGGGCGGGACTTCCCGTTCCCTCCGCGTCCGGGGCGCGCCACGGGGCGGTTCAGCAACGGCCGCGTGGCCACCGACTTCTACTCGGAGGCCCTCGGGCTCGGCCGCGCCTTTGTGCCGGCCTACCTTGATCCGGACTACGGCATCGGGGACATGGCGATCGGTGTTTGCTTCGCCTCCGCCGGCTCTGGGCTTGATGTTGCCACCTCACGTGTCTTTGTAAGAGCATCTCAATTCTCAACATCTACAATATCATTCATTTTTGTTCGTTTCTTCCCATTTCTATTTAAATTTATAGATATTAATATATGTTTCTACAACTTGTTTAATCAAATATATAGAGAAGTTTGACTATAACATAACTATATTTGGAATGGTGAAAATAGTAGCGAAGATGTTCGTTGACTCGTTGTAATGACAACAAGGGTAAATGCCTTGTATGCAATTGCCAATCTTTAGTTTTCCTTCGTCTCATCGTAGGTTTAGCTATAAGATTCTTATAAAGGATATAATAGTAGATTGTGGGTTCAGGAAACTAGGAAGTTGCATCTCGTGGGTTCTTTTCCAATACAAGTTATTCCTCATGAACGAACAAGAATATCATAAACTAGCAGGTAACCCGCGCTTTGCGCGAAAAAAAAACTGGCCTGTTAGAGCATCTATAAGAGTCTTTCTAAATTTCATTCTCTAAATCGTTATTTAAAGAGTCATTTGTATAAAAATTGCGCTCTATATCTTTTCACTCTCCAATAATTTTTATGTATCTTATGTTCACTCTAGAAGTTTATTCGTGTTTTGGCTAGCGAGAAATCTGAAATAGAAAATGATTATATTTGAATAATAACCAAATAAAGAAATTATTGAAGTGTTTTTTTATTGAAATCTTTATTAGAGTCTCTTGGAGTTGCTCTTACCTAACAGGTAAGAAAAAGTAATGTACATGAGAACAGTACCGGGCAAACAGTATTCGCTACAGGACAGTCTATTATGCAATACTAAATCCGGCACATAAAGTGTTAAGAGTTTTTGGCGCGTGATAAAATTAATGCAATATAAAGTTGGACATAACGAACTACGGCACCAATCAAAAAGATTCTCGGTGCGCTCGTGCTGTAGTTCTGGTGATGTCAAGGATGGGGCTGGCAGGTGTCACACCCATATGTGGCGAAAGGGATGCCGTCACACGAGGGACGGTGTTCCGCAGGGACGCGCTCCAGTGGTGCCATTTTACAGCTGCAGGCGAAAGTACCACGCATGGTACTTTTTTTGCTGCTCTTCTCTCCAAAACCAAGAGGATGTCAAGTTTATACGCGCATTGACTATAGGATGCGTCCATAAATAATAGTTAAAAGAGAAATACATAGCACATGAGAAAACTTTCCACATATCACTTTCCTACATGCTGCTACCTCAGTCCCAAAAGAATACAATTTTAGTTAGTTTTGTTAGTTGAAGTGTTCAAAGTTTGACCAACTATAGAGATAAAAAATATCACTGTTTTTAATGCTAAATAAATATATTCTAAAGATATATCTCGCGAAAAAACTAATAATATTTATTTGATATCATAATTATTTATAGTTTTGTGTACGTGGGTAATTAAATTTGAGATACTTTAACTTTCTACTGTGTTAGAATTGTTGTATTCTTTTCTAGATAGATAAATGGAGTACTTTTCAACCACCCTTGGCCCACGGAATTTGAATTTACTGCGATACAGACGTTGCTGAACCAAAATAAAGCCGGCAGCACTTTTGTGCAAGATTCCCGCTGCACATTCGCCGGCATGCAAGCGAATCCTCGTGTCCTACTCGGAAACCCTTCGTCGATCCAGTACCAGTGAGCGGTGTTAACGCAACACAAGTACGGCAACACTCGCACACACATTGTCGATGGCCACTCTCTTTACTCGATTAAAGACCAACTACTTTTCAGTCCGTCCCAAGTAGGGACGCATTCGTATCCAACGTGGATGAAATCGAACTTGATAGCATTATTTATCATATTTTAATTTAAACTTGATAGCATTATCCGATGCAAATACAAGATAGATATTTTGAATTTGCATTCGGATACCTACTTGTTTTTTAAATAACAAGTATATATTTGCTACATGAATAGTTTTAGTAGAACAAATAATTATTCATACAGAGATTTAAAATATGAGTATATAAGGTGGATAGATACAACTCATAAAAAACAACACATTTATTAACAAAAAATTAAATAGTAATTATATAAAAATTAAATACGTACCTAGAAAAGTCAAAACACTTATAATTTAGAACGAAAAGAGTGTCACTCTGTGTATCAGTGACTTTGTTGATACTTTTTTGTAGCAGGGTATAAACATTTTACCATGACCTTCACAGATTAGGCAATCCTTAATTGCCATATTATTGGGTCTTATCTTGTGAACTTTTTCTATGTTTACTTTTCATAATTCTCATATTGGAACGTATTTATATTTCTAATATATTTGATATCCATAGATAATGGGAATTGTAACTTTAAATCTCTTTTATTTCCATGACAAAGATTGAATTACTTGCCCAAACATAAAGAACCTATTTCCCCAATAATAACATGTGTTGGTAATAAAAGAATAGTATAAGGGTACTTCTGGGATAATTTTTGCATAATGAGTGGTGGGTGTTAGAGTACTTTAATAAATTATCTAATTCTCCTAGTAATTTCTAGTCTTTGAAAATTAACATACAAAAACATTTTTTTATTGATCAAATAATATAAAGGTCCGTTTGGATGTAGATATTGGACGGCTAGCATTGAATTGGGTTCCAATATCAAATCAGACTAGTATTGGAAATGGTCTGCAATACCAAATCAGATGTTTGCATGTACATGAAATTGCTATTTAGAATCTCCAAAAGCTACTGGACCATTCATTCACGGATCCCCTTTTCAACCCCGCGCGAAGTAGCTCATTATGCATCGCCACTGCCGCCGCAGGTCCGTTTGTCGTAGCTGCAGCCTGTGCTAGCCCTCTCGTTCCCCTTCCCTCCCCCATCCGCGCACATCGATGTACAACCGTGAGCCCGCTCCTTCCCCTTCCCTACCAAAGCAATTCCCCTGCGCTTGTGCGTGCATGGCCAAAGGCGGCAGGATGCGTCGCCACAGCTGCTGGAAGCATGGAGGCGCCAACATGGCCGGTACCCGCACGGGTGCTGCTGGACTTGAGGCTTTCTTGCTGGACTAGCGCCACGTCCCGCGCCTGCTGCCGGTGCCGGTGCCGCCACCGCACTGCACTCTCCGCTGCTGCCGGACTTGAGGAAGAACGGGATCCCCGCACCTGAGGACTTGAGGAAGAAGGGGATCCTGGCACTCAGCGGTGGCCGTACTTGAGGAAGAAGAGGATCCCGCATCTCCTCCGCGCGAGCTCTCCTCCGCCCTCCCTTGCGCGACCTCTGGTGGCGGTGGCGGCGGCGGTTGTCGGGACTCTCCAGCGGCAGGGGCAGTCGTGGGGTTCCTTGGTGCTTCCGCCTTCTGATACTTCTTTGTTGCTTTGGTTTTCCTCCGTACTCCAATACGGAGGGGTTTGCCTCGGTATCGAAGGGGGGCAGTTTTAGTTGTAGTCGAATGCTTTGGTATTGAGGGGTCAATGCCATCTCGCAATGCCAAAGGCATCCAAACAGCAGAATTGAAAAAACTCAATTCCAATTCCAAATTCCACGTCTCAATATCTACGTCAAACGGGGTGTAAGATATAATGATTTTCCCCCTAGCAATTGAATACTAGGATCCGTAAGTGATACTAATAATCTCACTGTGATGGTTGGTGATCCAGAGAGTGATCCCCCTGTGGAAGCAACTGGACATGTTCCGGGAGTACAAGTCCCGGCTGGCTGACCACTTGGGCGCCGCCGAGGCACACGCCGTGGTGGCCGGCGGCGTGTACGCCGTGAGCATCGGCACCAACGACTTCTCGACTTCATCGAGAACTACTTCGCGCTGATAACGACGCGGTACCTCGAGTTCACGCTGGCCGAGTACACGGACTACCTCGTGGGCCTCGCCCGGGGCTTCCTGGCGGAGCTCTATGGCCTGGGCGCCCGCAAGGTGGGCTTCACGGGGCTCGCCCCCATGGGCTGCGTGCCACTGGAGCGCGCCCGCGCCCTGGGCCGCCGCTGCGCCGAGGAGTACAACGCCGCGGCGCGCGCCTTCAACGCGGCGCTCGCGGACATGGTGCGCGAGCTGGGCGGCGAGCTGCCGGGCGTCGAGATCCGGGTGGCGGAGGTCTACGGCTTCTTCGAGGACATGGTGCGCGACCCGGGGAGGCACGGCTTCGCGCGCGCCGACGTGGGGTGCTGCGGGACGGGCACCTACGAGATGGGGTACGCGTGCGGCATGTGGGCGGCGGCGGCGCCGGCGGGGACAGGGACGTGCCCGGACGCCGACCGCTACGTGTTCTGGGACGCCGTGCACCCCACGGAGCGCGCCAGCCGCCTCGTCGCCGACCACCCCATCAACACCACCTTCGGCCGCTTCGTCTGATCCAGTGACCTTCCTCCGTCTATTGGTTTCCTGAGCTGTGTATATTGGTTAATTATTACTCACTCCATTCCAAATTGTGTCATTTGGTAATCTTTTCAAGACAAAATTGTGTCAGATGAACTAATAGTACAGGACCTAGTCAACGAACAACCAGAAAGATAGTTACATCAATTCTCTGCTAAGTAGACCGGCACGGCGCGTCTGAGCGTCTCCCTCGAGGGTCCAGGCGTCCAGCTCCTCTCCGGTGCCGCCGGGTGGATAAACGGTCGGTCTCGCCGTTGTGGACGCTCGACATTCCACGGCCTCTCTACCCTGAAAACACAAAGCAAATCGCAGAAATCCGAATCTTAAACCACACAGTTTTTTCCCAAACGAGACAATGCGCACCGGGATGATTTATTTTCGCACGTAGTACCTGCTAGTTATGAGACGGGTTTCCGTGGGACCCCGGCACAGGGCGGCCGAGGCTGGCCCTCGCTCCCCTGAACGGCGTCGTCCACCGCCAGCGGCTGGCGTCCATCTGCTGCTGCGATCCCGGTGACACCCGCGGTGCGGTTACCAGCAGCTTCCGGTTCCGGAAGTAGCCGCCGGAGCTACTTCCGGAGCTCTCTGTCGTCGCCCTCCGTGCCGACGTCGTGGTCATAGTGGCACGCGCTGCCACCGTTGACGAGGAACTCAGGAGCGTCAGCAGCAGGAGCAGTACGAGAGTAGGACGGTGTAACAAGTTGGGTATTCTCTCCATTGCTGTTAAGTTGGCTCTCGTGCTGTAATCGCGCATGCGGCCGATCAATTCACTGAGCTTCTGAGGTGCGTGCAGCGTGAGTGAGCAGCTGGGAGGTGAACCTGGAAGTGGTTAAAGTCTTGAACTCAGGGGAGGAAGAGGAAGAGGAAGGTGTGTTTTCCCTCGGACTGGGAGGAGTGGAGTTGAGTCGATGAGATTTGGGATCTGATCTGGAACGGAACGGGTGGAGCCTAATTGCTGGTAGCAGTTAGATATAGGTGGTTAAGTGTGGCATAATTTATTTATTACTGGATGCGACACACTATTACCACAGTGGAGCGTCTGTCATATGCTACGCAGGTTGTGAGGTTCAATTCACATGTAGTTCAGGCCGAGCCAAAGCTCTTGCCATGTGCAACCGCCGTCCTATACTCCTATGTGCTTACATTAGGTACTCAAACACATGTCTAGAGAAGTAAATTAACCTCTGGTCAAAAGATTCAACCGAGTTATTTTATAGATGAAGTTCTCCAAGTTTTAGTGGTACCTCTGTTCTTTCATCAACAACCTCCACAAAACATACAAACTCTCATCTTGTTGGGGGAAGCCCCCGGTGTTGGGGACCCTCTCTTCGATCCAACCCGTCCAAAGTCGCGGCAGGAGAAAAGTGCTGCCCTTCGTCCGGCGACCGTGCTTCCGCCAGCTGATGGGCGTTGGTGTTCGCAAGATTTCGCTAACGGACTTGTAGGTCTTAGGGTTCACGAGCAGAGTAAGAGCTATGAAGAACATCAGGAGGGTGGTGATATGATAAGAGCACCCATCCTCACGTTCATTTATCGCCGCGGACGCACGCGTTTTCGCCACGACATGTACTCACATGCTGTTTTGTCGTGCCTTGCGTTCATCTTAAGTTGTGTTCACTGGGCTCATCCCATCGGGCAGGTGGGAGGCGAATGTCGGATGGTCCGCCGATGGAAGTTGGCGAGATTCAGGGCGGCGAGGTCAAGGCAGCACCTAGACAGCCCATGGCGAAAGGGGAGCGGGCGAAGAGGCCGAGCTCTCCGGGTGAGGAGAACCAGCAACGACGCCAAAGAGAGAGTTGAGCCAAGTGGAACCCGTGCACCGGGGTAGTTAGGTGCCTTCTCGGGGTGATATAACTTTTTGACCAAATTGCCCTTGCACCTGGAGAATATGCATGGGATCTAGGGAGGCGCGAGGGCAGTCTGGCCCCATGTAATGTTCCCGAATGCTTATAAATAGTGCCCATTACACCTAATTGAGAGAGCTTCGCTCTTGCCCCTTCACCACCATTGGTTCATTGGTTCAAGATTGTGGCAGAACCGCCTAATCTAATGCCTTTCAGGAGTACTTATCCTACATTAGACACTAAGTACTTAAGGGAGAACACCAAATTACACAGTTCCGTCGGGCACACCCAAGGAAGAACCCGAAAATCCACATTTTCCATCAGAATCACAAATGAGAGAATAAAGTTTACATCATTCTTAACTATTTCTTCCATCACTTTTAATACAACATCAGAGTATAATATTTATTGTTATAACAGCAGAATATAACCATATTATCAGAATTATGAACAATTTAATTGAACAACGAAATATAAACATGTGATCAGAATTATAGTGGAATTAAATAGCTATTCATGGCATGATGAAGCATTGATAAATAAACTATGACAACAGATTATATAACTTTTGTTTATAAAAATATTTGGTGAGAGTTATAAAAAAAACTATGATCGCAGCGTAAAGAAAATCCTCTCTGAGCCCACCAGGAGGAATCCACACACAAGAGTCAGCTCTAGCATCCACCTGTCACCTGCAACAGGGGAAATAAAACCCTAAGTACTCAATTGTACTCAGCAAGACTTACCTAACAGGAGGAAAGAAAAGACTCAAAGAATATGCAAGGCTATCTGGCTTGTGGGTTTGTTGCATCTACAGGAGCAGACTAAAAGTGCGTCCTTATATTTGATTTTTATTAACAGCCGCATTACTTCATTAAGCAACCATTCTATATAAGCTCATGTGCTACTTTCAAGCAGGTGGTAAGCAATCAGATTTTCTTTTTTTTATCTTTCATCTTTCAGTTCTTACTACGGTGCTAGACCACAGACAAGTCGTACCAGAACGCCGGCGATTCGGGAATCAATGCCCTCAGCTTGGTACCTCGAAAACACACGCATTGCTTGTACCCAAGGCACAAGTAGGACCAACCCATCACCCTCGTGTCATGTGGTCTAGGTCCCTATCCAAACTTGGACTCCAAGCCCCCGCTCCTGAGTCTCGGACTCAGTGCGGCGCAAGGACCTCCACCATCCCTGCCTCCAATCAGTCGGCCCGGAAAGAGCCGGAACCCACGCCAAGAGAGCAACAAGTCTTCCAAGCGCCCATACCAAAGTATGTGCTCAGGATAATAAGTCTGTGACTTGCCTAGAGCCCAATGCAATGGCTGGTCCTTAACCGATATAGATAGGGAAAACAGTGTAACCAAGCCATGTCCCGTTGGCCGTAGGAGACAACCTCATACACCCACCAATACCCAACCATATCCCTGCTCGGTCATCATTTTTTCTTTCCACCATTTATATTTTCCAAGTGATAATAATATAGTAATATATTTCCTATCTCTCACGAGTGACAGGCAATCACTCGACTTCTACCAAAGTCCTATAGCATAGCAATCTATACGATTCTGTCATACTAGTAAGACTCATAGGATAAATATATATATGCAAGTTGGTTTCATTCAACTCCATAAAACTTAATGCACAAATATAATTTAAAGTGCAGAAAAATATGGGTTATGCACCGGGGCTTGTCTAGATAAAATATAATCAGAAGTTAGCTTTCCATCATGACGACACGATCTCTAAAAGCACCATTTCTCCAGCAACCCCTGAGGACTCCACGATCCATCAGCGTCCCTATTATGATATGCAATGTGATGAAATGCAAAGACGTAATTAATCAACTGCAACCGTAATTCGTAAAATATGATTTACGCCTTTCAAGTTAACGAGCTAGTTGTAACAATGAGCATATTTAGGCTACATATCCATGTTGTCGAATAAAGCGTTATTTCCCAACAAATATTTTAGTTATACAAACCTAAATTGTTTCTTTATTCCATTATATCAATTTAATCTTTATTTGAAATATGACATCATTATTTATCTAGCAAACTAATTATTCTAGAGCTACAAAAATTACAGTGAGCAGCTAATAATATTAGTAATTTACTGTAAAATTTTTAGAGTCAACACGATTTATCACGGAAATTCCTATAAGTTTATATTTTAGCAATATTAAACATGTTTAAATAATTAAAGCAACCGTAGAAACATTTTGAAACAAAATAAACTAATTATACTAACAGATAGATCATGATTTTATGAGGCTAACAAAATTGGTTTTACCATTTTTGGACACCTACACAATTTTATATTGATTTTACAAGTTTGCTTCAGCATTAAATTAGAAAATACCTCAAAAATGAAAAAGGGGCGACGGCAACAAAACTGGCCCAACGGCCCAGCACGGACGACGCACGACGGCCCAGAGCACAGCGTGCACATGCGGCCCAGCGCAGGCGGTAACAGCGCGGACACGAGCGGCAGTAGGCCGACCCAGCGTGCGGCGCGAACGGCGGCCCAGGCAAGCAGGCATCCCAGCGTGGACGAGGCCACAGGTGCGATGGAAAATTTGCACGAGGGCCCCCCGAGCTTTCCTCAAATCAACCCGATGTACAAATGCACTATTCATGTGAGTCACGTATTTTACACCTACAACCCTGTACAAAATTTCTACTTGGATTCTCACCCTTCTCTTCTCCATCAACGAACAGAGGAGGAACAGAGGAGCACCGGCCGGTGGTCAATCCTGGCCGAGGAGGGCACGGCAACGGCGGAAAACTAGCCGCGGGGCAGCGGCGGACCAACCCGCAACCAAAGGTGCCCACAGCGTGGGAGGAGGTGGCCCACAGTAGCGGGGAGATGTGCGGTGGTGACGCGGCATGGCGACCGGGCGTGGCTACTGTAGGGGAGTCGGTGCGCCGGTCGATGGAGACGGTGGGGTGGCACATGGGGCACCGGTGGCATGCCAGCACGGCCGAGGCGCGTGGAAAGGCAGCGTAGTGGAGCTCACGCGAGGGGCGTGGGCCGGGACGGGCACGACGTCCACACACGACCGCGGTAGGGAAGGAAGAGGAGGGGGCATTGGAGCTCGGGGCGTGGGAGGAGCGGGGGAGATCGCCAAGG